TGGACGATGCGAGTGAGTAAGCTACTAGAGATCCGATCAGATATTTAGCTTCAGTAACGCAGATGCGTGTTGAAACGGCTACCTCAGCCACCCTGGTTTGCTCTATGGGATTCCTTTGATATTCCTGTAAGATTTCTATGATATTGCTCTACCTTTTACCCTATTTCCGCCCTACCGCTGTCATCAATAAAGTTCTCCTTTGTGACCGGTGTGGAGACGTATTGAGGGGTGGGTCTAAATTATGCCAAGGAGGCCCCTTAGGTCGGTGGACTAAGGGAGGCTTCCCTAATCAGCCCCTGACTTGGGGAAGTGCCCCAAGTGCCTTTATGGGGTCTAGCACCCATTGGACGATCAGGCCTGTGTTCTCCAAGGTGCGCAGAGCCAGAAGTGAGTCCAGAGCCTTGGATGGTGGCAGCGGGAACCCCAGGCTAGCGGGGGTGCTCCGGGGAAGGGGTCGGCCGGACGGGAGGCACCCCAGGGAGGCACTCGGAGCCTGGGAGGTGGGCGGGCGCAGGGAGGTGGGCGGCTCAACGCAGGAGGCCCGCCCCAGGGAGCTATGGGGCAGGGAGCGAGGGACACGGCCTCTGCATCAGACCTGCCTGGACCTGCAGTGCTGGAGGCTGCAAGGGAGAGAAGAACGGGGAAAAGCCTGTCCAAGACCTGATCACTCTCCTTCCAGCCTCCACTGTCTGCCGTCGTGTGACACCAGAGATGGGGCAGGACAGACCTGGGGTCTGAGCCAGCCCAGGGCAGCTCTTCTGTTCTTGTGAGGCACCCGGCACAGCACCATCGACAGAGACTGCACCACGGGCCATGGGCAACACACAGCACATCGTGTTCCTGCACTACACCCTCACAACGCTTTTTTTTTCCAAAACAGCACATACACATACACACACAAACATCCTTGCACACTTATGCATGAACGCACAATAACAGAAAAGCACCATGCACACGAGGTGAGCGGACTGGAACTGCACATGACCAGCAACATCGGTCTGAGCTGCTGCACCGTAACGCTTCTCCTTCCCCCATAGGATCCATAACTGGATCATTGCTGCAGCCGGGTGCGCACAGACTTTCGCACACGCTGGGAGCCATGGAGGGACCAAGGCAGGGGCCTTGCTTGGGACCTTCCCACCATCTTGCAGCCTCCTCACAGCTTTCCTGGTACCAGCTCTGGGCAAGGGGACCCCACAACCCCGAGTGCCTCTGGGTGCTGAGACCCAGCCCTCAAGCCACAGCCCCCTGCACTGTGTTTAGGGTCACGAGGGACCACAGGTCCCTGCAGCCGGTTTGGCTCGGATGGGGCTTTGCCCTTCCTGTCTATGGGGCCCTTGGAGATGGAGGGTCTGGGTCACACTCACGCAGGCCACAGGGCACGGCAGTTGTGCACAAGGTGACTCAGAGGAGGGTCAGGCAGCCTGGGAGCACAGCTGGGGCACTGTTGGTGCAGTGAGGAAGCAGGAAACACACCACATGCCACACGGCCTGCACTCAGTCTGGTTTCTGCTATTTCGGGTGTGGAGAAATCAGGCCCCGGTCTGCCTCACTGCAGTAAGCAGGCAGCCCACCCCGCCCTGTAGCCTTCTCCATCGAAATCAAGAACGTCTCCGCCACACTGCACCTGTTTATCACACTAGGTCCAGATGCACCTCAGTTGCACCGAAGACATTAGACCTGTGAGTTAGTCGGGTCTAATCAAAGAGACTTACTGATGCTTCTGCTTTGTTTAGGTTCTTTTCGTAGCTGTGTATCAAGTTTTCCTTTGAGAAAGGGGGATATAGTAGTAAGGGTTAACTCCCTTACTAAAGAGCGATGTCATCCACAGGAAGGGGTCAGTCATTTTCAGTGGGGTTCATTGTTACAATAAAGGCTTAATGAGGACAAAGAGTCTCCCAGCTTCTCCCTATGATCCAGATCACCAGTCTGCAGCCCCCTGCACCAGGCCCACAGGCCCTGCTGTTCCAGCCCCAGTCTCGTGGGGCCTTGGGGCAGGTGTCTCTGTGCCATGTGCCCTGCACCTCGGGGCTGGATGGTGCCTGGCTGGCTCTTTAAGGCCCAGGGAGCAAACCAACCTGGCTCTGTGCTCAGCTGTAGAAGCTGGTTGCTGCCCTTGTGTGAGCAATCAGCTCCCGCCTTACCCACCCTCCACACCACCACCCAAAGCATCACCTGCCCCAATTTAAGCAGTGTCCCTGTTGGGCTCAGAGCCCGAAATGCTGGCACTGGAGCCTGAGGGACTCACCATCACCACCCCTCAAGCAGACCCAGATGAGACCGGCCCCAGACGGTACTGGCAGCTCACACCCTGCCTCACAGCTCAGCTGGGTAGCACAGACCTGTCCCCCCAGGACACTGCATGCCTTGGTCATAGCAGCACATATGTCACAGCAGACCGGTGCTCTGCCGCTCCCACCGCACCAGCACCTCCGTTCCAGGGAGGCAGGAAAGCGAGCTCCTGCTTCCAGCCAGGCACTAACACCGCTGTGCTCTGGGCAGGCGTGCATGGCTGTGGTTGTGCGCACCTTGCTTGGTGCTATTTCAATGACAGGGCTCCTCTGCAGACACTGTGCAAGTCTGAATAGGGAATAACTCCTGGGGCCAGGGGAGGGAGTGATCACGGTATGTTGGCTCTTGTAAATAAGTATATTTATGGACGGAGGATCTAGGATTTTGAAAATGAGGGTGCAAATGGTGAGGTGCGTCACCACATCTAACACAACGCAGATTTTTCTCCAGCTAAAAAGAAATGAGAAGCTTTACTTATACAGCCAGGTCAGGGCTGGGTTATTCAATGTAAGACTGGAGCACAAAGAACTAGAACTTCCTTGGAAAGAGCTAAGAACAGTCTGCAGGGCTGTGAAATGGGAGTTACAAGACCAGGAGCAACCAGCAGACAGCAGCATGGCAGGACAAAGGGCAGCTGGATTGATGGACATCCGGGCCGTGAGCGAGGAGAGAGGGTCGCTAGCACCGGTCGAATGGAAAGAGATTACTAGGAGTCACGGACACGACAAGGAGCCGTGAAGTCAAGTGGGCTGGGGCACGGTGCTGTCACCCGGCTGAACATAAGAAGCACGAGTGTGGTCATGATTAGGAAGTGGAAAATATGTCACATGCCACAGAGCTTGCAGTTTATCTGGTCTCTGTTGTCTTCAGAGTTGAGCTGAGGCTGCAGCTGAGACATCTCCCACCCACAGCATACGCCCTTTGGGCCCAAAAGCTTGTCTGGCCTCTCTCCCAGCCACGGACTCGGTCCTCAACAAGAGATCACCCCATCAATGCCCTTTCTAGACAGTGTCTGACAAGTCTGTGTGAACTCAGGTCACCAGGGCCTCGGGGACTACACCCCGGGGCACCGAAGGGCTGGACAGAGGGGACCTCGGGGCCTTGGCAATGACACTGACTGACTTGTGGGACACAAGTGGGGTCCACGGGATGGGACAAGGGAAACGTGGAGCCCTCTCTGGAAAAGACAAGAGAGGACATAAGAAATTATTGACTCATCACCCTCGCTTCAATCCCCAGGAAGTTACTGGAGCAGATGCTAAGAAAATCCATCTGCAAGCATGAGGAAGAGGAAAGTCTGATCCTGAGCAGCCAGCATGGGTTGGACACCAACAAATCGTGTCCAACAACCTTGATCTCTTGCTACAGCAGAGTAACTTCAGGGGTGGATGAAGGGCCTGCTGTGGGCTTCGTGTGTCTGCGCTTCAGCAAGGCTTCAGACAAGATCCCACATCAACTCTTCATAAACCAACAGGAGAAGCCTGGGCTGCACAAAGCTGCTATACGGTAGGTAGACAACTGGCTCCATCGACCCAGCAAAGGCATCAGTCAGTCAGACGGTGTCCATGTCAGGATGGCAGAAAGGATCGAGCGGAGACCCGCAGGGGTCTGTCCTCGGCCTGGGACTGCTCAACATGTCCATTCATGGTCTGGACGCTGGCAGAGAAAGCCTCTGGAGCAAGTGACAGATGACACAACCCTGGGAAGGGCTGTGAACACGCTGGAGGACGTGACTGCAGTGCAGACGGATCTCAACAGACTGGAAAGCCGGGCTGAAGCTGATGGGATGCAGGTCAGTGCGGACAAGTGCATGGTGCTGCCCTCGGGAAGAAGAGTCACGGACACAGGCATAGAGTGGGTGAGACACGGCTGGGGGCAGCGCTATGGAGAAGGACCTGGGTGTCCAGGGAGGTCCCAGACCCAAGAGGAGTTTGCAGTGTGCTGCACCTGCACGAAGAAGCCCGCGTGGGTCTGAGCTGCAGGACGGGTAGGATGCAGGTGCCGGAGGCGGGAGGTGGCTGGGCAAGGGCAGGGCCAGGAGAGCAGGCCATGCTGCGTGCTGGGAGCGCGGAGGGAAGCGCACCAGGTGCGGCCGTGCTGGAGCAGCAGGAGCTGGAAGGCAAGGAGCAGGGTGAGCTGGGGCTGCTGAGAGGCAGAGCACAGCCCCTCTCCCCGGGCCATGCTCCTGCATCGGGGCACAGGGCTCCCACTGCCAGGGGAGAAGGGCACAGGAGTGCCTGGGTGCCAGGGTGCAGCGAGGGCGCCCAGCACGGAGACGCTCTCTCCTACTCACGGATCCTCCTGTCTTCATGACCCGGGGACGGTCTCTGCAGCTCACCAGGGGCAGCTGGCCGGCTTCTCACAGATCCAGCGGTATTCCATATTCCACATGCCTGCTCTCTTTATGCTTCCCTCTTCAATTACTCCATAAGAACCAAAACCTGGAATGTTCTGCTCTCTACAAAGACGGAGGCCACGTCAGGGCCCCAAGACCATCCCAGCCCCTGCAAGGCCGCACCTGTGCAGCTGCAGCCAGGGCCCAGGCCCGATTCTGGCCAGTCTGACCCCTTCAGCACCCCGCCGAGGCCACAGCCTCTGCCCCCAGCCCACGAGCCCTGCTGACAGCTCCTTGCTCCTGGCCAGGTGCAGCGGGGCTGCCAGAGCCAAGCCCAGTCCATACAGGCAGCTCCTGGCACAGGCACAGGTGCAGCCTGGGATCCAGGCTCCTGGCAGCCTCCCCTGCCCACACTGCACGGATCCTGCCCTCCCACCCAGCGCAGCCCCCGCCCTGACCCCAGCCCCATGGCACATCCTTGTGCAGGGGCCACAACCAGAGCTGAATGGGCTGCCAGGCAGCTAGCTCACTTTGGGTGCGGAGTCCCGTCGATCCAAGACCACTGGCCCCAGGTGCCCTTATACTGGAGCCCAATCCAGTACACAGCGTTAGTGGTGGTGAGGAAGCTCTGGGGAGGGAGCGACTGCTCAGAAACAGCCCCAGGCCTGGCCCGGAGCCAGAAGAGAGGGGGCAGCTGGAGCCATGGGACCTCCCGGTGGATGGGGAGCAGGGGGGGCAGGGACATGTGTGACACTAGCCCCCCCAAGTCCCGCACCTGCCCCCCAGG